AAATGTCATATCCTGTTCTGTTCAGAGAAGGGCTAGGACTGTGAGGATAGGGAAGAACAAAGAGAAATACTGCAAAATGCAACCTTATAGAATTTCCTCTGCCTGTGCCATGGGAGAATAGCATGGGGGAGGCTATAGATTCTGGCAGGAGCTGCTAGGGAGCTTTGAAAACTAAAGATAGAATCAGTGGGGGGTTATCCTAAACAAATACACAATAGGAGGAAACTCCAAAAGCCTCTGAACTGTTCAGAAAATTCACAGTGGGTTCAGAAAAGGAGAGACAGAGTGGGGCCAAAAGGAAGGGGAGATAAGCGAACAATGGGTGTGGAAAGCAAAGTTCAATAGGAATTGTCAGTACCCAGTGGCTGGCAGCTATCAGAATCCAACCCACTGGGGAAAGATGTCATTCCATTGTAAGACACACAGGAGAGGCAGTGGAGGGAATATGGTTTCCAGAATCCTCTGGGCTCAAAGCCTGGAGCCAAGCAGAACAATACAAATAATTAAGGGAGTAGTAGAATTAACTTACAGGGAATTCTTTCTACTTTTCTTCACCTGGTGAGATCAAGTGTAGTATTAATTTCAGATAGTTCTTCTATCAGGGAACTGTATCCTGTTCTGGCAAAAGATGATCTAGTAGATTTTTTCCATTCCTGACTTGGAGGATGTAACAAATTATGCATAGCTTGGGAAAGTGATGCACCAGGTTTGCTGCACCAGGGGCATATTTTAAAATATCTGAAATGAATAAATCTCAAGGAGAGAAAAGAAATACAAAGGGTTGCATTACAAAAGGAAAAAACAAGAGCTTACTTCCTTTGCATTTATACAGAATCTATATAGAGAAGGGAGTCCAACCTTATGTCAACTCTAGGTCATTGATGTTAAACTTTTTCTGCATTTGTTTATTCTTTCATAAAAATTTAGCTTATATTCTAAACCCATTTTTTCCCTCGTTCAACAATATTTATGAAACATATTGTAAACCAGATCATCTTCTAGCAAAGAGAATACAAATGTGAACAATGGTTCTCTACCCTCTTGGAGCTTGTGTGATGAGGGGTGGAAAGGAGGCAATCAATAAACAAATAAATTCGACAGTATAAATGGTAGCAGATCCTATGAACATTTTTAAAAGAACGATATAGAGTGACTAGATGACAAATTAAGTCCAAACCCATTTTGAATAGCAAATATCATACACAATTTGCAGGTGGAAAAATTGAATCATTGAGAACGTATCTTATTTGCATTCAAACACAGAGCATATCAGTGAAAGAGACAAGAATATGACCTAATTCTATGACCAATGGGATAAAACCAGACAGCTACAGGTCTACATATTTTGATCAAATTCAAGTTATAAGAAAATTTTCTTATAGCTATAATTTAGTCTATTATTTGTCACTCAGATATTACTGCCCTGCAATTATATTAATGAAGCATCTCTAATCATCTTATTATAGTGTAATACATGCCACAGTTGACAAAGCACTTCTCTAAACTCCCTTATTGGTGCACATTAACTGAGTGCTCAATATGTTTTCAGGCTGCTTTGGTGCCTGTTAATATTTGCTGTAAAAAAAAAAAAATGTAGGTTCCTGATTCCTTGAGTGATACTTTAAAGAAGAAAAAGCATCAAGTCAGTGAGTTAATGGCTCAGTTTTTCAATGTGGCTTTTCTTTGGCACCTGTTCTGGCATTATCCATTTTGTGTGCACCTTTTTGAAGTCCACTCTTGAAGTGTACCTGCAATTTTAGAGCTGGTTTAGAGAATTTTAGAGCTGGTTAGAGCTAACTTCAGCTGAGTGAAAAGAGCTCTTTGGAGGTGGGTTTGGTAGAGTGAAAAAGTCTGTCCCTAAAGTCAGGCAGATTCAATTTGGAATCCTGTTTTCTTCCTGTACTATTTCTGTGACATTGAGCAAGTTATCTAGCTTCTTTATGGCTCAATTTCTTTATCAGCAAAATGAAAATAAGACTAACCTCCAAAGGTTGTTGTGAGGATGTAGGTGTGAACCCTCTACCTCGCCTATTTTGTATTTGAGGTATTCTTACAGTACTTCACTGGAAGGAAGGATTCCATGGTTAAGAAGAGGCTCGAAAATCATTGACACAGCCTAACATTTATATTACAAATGGCAACAGTGAGACCCAGAGCAGTTGTCGTTTTTTCAAGTACAGAGAATCTGTAGCAGCTCCTAGCTTTGGACTCTTTTTGCTATGGTAAGCCTGGAGAGGCTATGTGCATCACTAAAATTAATCTCCAGACAGGAAAAGATGGTTATCTCATAACATGTGCTTTACCTTATTGTATTATTCTAGGTGACCTTTACATGTTCCTTTACTGAAAACTACTACCTACTATAGAGCATACATGCATGGTTGAATGGGTTAGTTTAGCAACCAAGTCTTTCAGAAACACTTGCAGAGGGAGAGAACATTCCTTGGGCTACAAAGTGGAGTGGGGGGGGAAAGATGGAGGGGGGAGGGAGGTTGGGGATAATTGGGTGGGGGACACGGGGTACAAATGCAATTTGTAGTAATGGGCATACTGCCAGTATGAATCTGGCCTTCACATCTTGGGCATGAGGGGTGACAATCAGCTTTGTATCTCATGAATATTCATAACCAATAAAAAAAATACACAGGCAAAGTGTGTGATGTGGGGATAGAGAGGCGGGACAATGTAGGGGAAAGAGCTTTGGGCTAAAGGTTGGGGGCCTGGATTTTGGCCCCAACCCTCTCAATGAGCATGGCTGGGCTTTTGGCAAGTAAAAAAAAAAAAAAGGAAAAAAGAAACAACATGTTAACTTGAACTCACCAATAGGAAAATGCCCCCTGTAGATGCTTAATAAATGGTTTGGGGTGGGGGTGGGGAACCTAACTAAACTTTTAACTGGTTAATCTTCTCCCAAATAGACCCTATATTGACATTTCCTCTGTTTTATCCAAACTGTAGTTATGGAAATAGTCTATTGGTCCAATACAGATCATCTTCTGTGAGTCTTATTTACATTGTTTTGATCTTCTTATTTCAGGCCCCTATGATATTTCATTTAATCTAAGAAAATGTCAATCATAAAATACCATTATTTTATGTCCTTCCAAGAGATAAAGCAAATGTGCCAATTAAAATTATAAGATACCATTGGCTGTAAGACACATTACTATTTCAGAGATATTAAAAGAGGTGGATCTTGGAATTCATGACGTATGACTCCATATTTGCCACAATATAAGATATATCTTTCCCCCAATCTTACACCCCATCCTCCTTCCACTTTAGGTCACCTGATATTTTCATTAAGCAGAGGAATAGCATAGAAGGCTCAGCCATAGGTTTTCCAAAATGCTCCCCTCTAAAATTATGCTGCACTTATGTTTTAGCATATGTGGTACATCTGATCAAAAATGCTTCTTGTCTTTTTGGCCCTAGGAATAGCTCCAGGATGATGTACCTCTCTTGTTATCTGCCACAAATATTTTGGATCTGTTTCCTTTCTGTGGGATGAGCATTATTCTAGTAAGGAGGGGAATGTTAAAACCCCAGGTGGGAAAAGTCACTTACTGCTCTCAATGGGAGCAGAAGATAGACCCACCATGTTGCATGAACGTGGACACTGAATACTTCTTGTATCATGGGCTAATCATTCCCCTGGCAACAGAGCTTGTATCGGGCAATTCCAAATGGACCTTACTACACTTCCTAATGATCTCATTTGTTGTGGTGCCCAAATCATCCAATCTTTGTCATAAGATAATATTTTGCTCCATTTGCTCAGGCATTGTGTTCACATAACACCAAAATGATCTTTAAACTTTTCGAATCCACATATCCAATTACTCATAAGGCAATGTTTTATCCTCAATGGAAAAAAAATTGTTTTCTACTTTAAAAAAAATGTTTAGGGCCGGCCCGGTGGCGCACTGCTACAGTGCGCCGCTTGGGAAGCGCGGCGGCGCTCCCGCCGAGGGTTCGGATCCCACATACAGACCGGCCGCTCACTGGCTGAGCGAGGAGCGGTGGCAACACCGAGGGTTGCGATCCCGTAGCCGGTCCCGGTCCGGTACGGGCGCAACACTGAGGGTTGCGATCCATTGCCGGTCACGAAAAAAGACAAAAAAAAAAAAATGTTTAATGTTTGTTTTATATGAGTGATACTACTGATTGAAGACTTTTTTTTGGTCTGCATTAATTAAATATTTTTGTCTTTTGATATTGGAGAAAATATCGGCAAGATTCAAATTTACATACTCTCTTCCCAAGTTCAAGATACTGTGTTAATATATCCTTACATAATTTAATCTTTAGAGAATTTCATATTTACTAGAAGGCATTTTATGTTTAGCACTAGTGGAGATTTGTATGTTATCTTAATAAAGGACAAGAATCAATGAGATGTGATTCAAAGGGAACTTGACTTTCCAGCACTCTCCTTAATCCTTACTGACCCCCACAGGCATGTGTTGGGGAGAAGGTAGATGGGTATCAATTCCAGAGACCTAAGGCGATGCTAGAAAAGCCACAGGATGTTATAGAAAGGAGGAGGCAGCTTAGGAGGTGTGAAAGCCACCCCCCACCCCCACCCCATGATAAATTGGAAGGAAACCGAAGGAGGACTAAGATGTGGGATGGCTTCTGTGGATACTTTTTTCTCTTTTCCTATCATTGTGTGTTCCTTCCTTATCCCAGAGAGAGAGAAAAATAATATGCACCACAGGAGGGCAACAGCCAGAATAAACTGTCTTCACTTTCTTCCATCTGATGATGTTGTAAAATCACTGCACAGACCTAAGGATAAGTACCAGAATCTGTAATAAATGGAAGTCAAATTTTCCTTTGCATATTTTTTGTGCTGTCATTACAGAAATTTTCCTGAGATAAAGAGCTTTGAAGATGTTTTTTTCAGGCCTATTTTCTCTCACAATGATTACTGTCTCAGAGTGTCACTGCAGTTTCTTACTTTTCTTGAGCTAAATCTACCCTGTTTTCTCTTTTAGGCAAATATCAATATTCCAATGGGAGCCTTTCGGCCAGGAGCTGGGCAACCCCCCCGAAAAAAAGAATGTACTCCTGAAACAGAGGAGGTGAGGAAAATTTAGCTAGATGAGCTCGGCAATGTCTTTCCCCTTTGAAATCCTCACTAGAGGGGCAGAAGCAAGGCAAGGGCTGGCTCTCCAGGACAAGAGAGTGGGTGAATGTCAAAGAGTCAACATACAGTGTATCCGTTTGTTTAGTGGTCTTGCTCAGCCAACCGTGAAACACACTGCCTCTCCCTTCCCTTCTGCCACATTTAAGTACATGACACAGTTGCTTGAAGATACCAAGCTTAACTTCCAGTCTGTTGACTGGTTTTGTGCGTGCGTGCGTGCGTGTGTGTGCGTGTGTGTGTGTGTGTGTGTGTGTGGTGGGAAGGACATAACCTCTCAGATGCTTTTTGTCTAGCGATGGTCACTAGATTGATAAGTTTTCACTTGGGAGCTTTTATTGAACTAAGCAGGATGTATTTAGTACAGCTTCTGAGGAGTGATGAACCATAGTGGAAATGCAGGAAGTAAGCAGGTTAAATTACTATGGATTCAAACAAACAAAAAAACTCAATCTCTGGATGTCTTCTTTTGAAAAAAGACTTTACAAGGGAGTCTATCAAGACTCCATTTCTGGTCTTTTTTTCTCCCTCTAATTCTTAACTTCTCCCCCAAATTCAAGTCCCTGATCTGCTAAAATGGAGGCTAACATTAATAATGAATGCAATAAAATAGGGAAGAGTTCTTTCCTCAGACTTTTATATTTCTTACCCAATTATGACTTTTCTGGTGAAACCTGGAGGTCTGATTCTGGGAAAAAACAAAAAACAAACAAACAAACAAAAAACTAAGGTTTTGGAGCATTTCATTAGCACAAGAAAAGGAAAATGGAATTAAATAAAACCACAAGTCATAGCAAAGTTCTGGAATTTCAGCCACCAAGTCACCTTTGATGAATAAAAGTTTTGGACATACTAGTTGAAAAGACCTGGCCCTATTATGGTTACATAATCGCAAGTTCTGGTGCTGCTTACTCTGCTGTCCAGTCAAATCTGAGATCATGTGCTCTCTGTGTGGGACTTTAGTCAAGTATTTCTGAGTCTGTGTCTGCAAAATAGAGTTCCCTCCATTTCTCAAAGGGTCACTGAGGAATGAGCCAGCGATATAATGGGCATGGCATAGATTTGTAGGTATTCAATAAATTATTGTTCATTGATTGATCTAATTATCCAATTTTAAAGAAGAATTCCTGGGCCTGTTTTGCATGTTGTAAGAAAAAGGCGTGGGGAGGTAGAAGGGACAGCAGTGGAATTTTTCCTACACCTCCATTTATCTTTAGTTAGATTCTTCTTCCTGTGCTTCCTTTTAAGCTGTGTCTGTCAGTAAAACGACCATCAGTTGGAAGGGAGCTTGACCCTCTTTTCTCACTAAATTGATGTAACAGTTGTTCTGGAGGCTTGTGTCTCATCTTCCCTCTGAGCTACAGATGGCCTTTGGTTCTCCTCTGTGTAACTGGTACTTTCCTCCACACAGTGTCTCAGTTAGGGGGCCGGGGAAGCACTTCGCTCTCACTCTTACCTCTTCTCCAGTCTGATGGTTCTAGCACATTCTAAAATAGCCAAGAACTGATACAGCCTGGTTTGTGAACACCTACTTTATAATCAGCCATATATGCAAATGGCCAGCTAGTATTCTTCACAGGATGGAGGGGGCAAGATATCCACAGAGATCCAGAGACCCCAGGAGTGTTTCTTGAACTGTGATATGCCTTCCTCATGAGGAACACTGGGCAGGAGGGTGGAGCTGGGGGTGGTATTCTGTTACCATACAAGCAGATATAAACTTTCAAGACTTGTGGGTTGTTAGGGAGGGAGTGGGATCATCATTAGTTGATTCTTAAGCTCTGGGCTGGACCTCAGAATAAGTTTCTCATGGAATCAATACTGTAAGGGCAGTAGTTAGGCAGCTTGGCTTGGCTGCAAGTGGGTTAAGTAGGATTTTGTGGGCGAGCGTGAGGCCCCAGCCACCTTTTGTGGCATAGTTTAAGTGGGAAAATGGAATCTGAATTCAAAATAACTTATACATCCCCATTTATTATTATCATTTAGTTTGCAAACGTGGAACTGCTTACTTTTGTAGATTTGGGATTCATTGCCTCACCTTGCATTAAGATTATTTTATAAAGTGGAGATTATAATATACCATCCCTGAACGGAACAGCCAGTAGGTCCCCCATCTAAACTTGGAAGGTTTTCTGATCCTGACACCCTCTCAGATTTGAAGAAGAGGATGCACCCCAGCAGGAAGGCAGGATCAGTCTTTGGCCATCTGACAAGGCCTGTAAGCACTGGTTGTGTCTCCGGCCCACCTGTGGTGAGCCCTTTGCTCTTCTCACGGTGCTGGAGTACACCTCTTCCTGCTAGACCCAGCCAGAGATTGGCATGTGCCCGACACAGAGGCCTTTCAGCCAAATCCTAATAAGCTGAATTGGTCTTTTGCATAAGTCAAGCAGGGGCTTGCTTGAAGTGATTTGAAGGATATTGACAAGTCCCCACTAAGCCTCCCAAATCTCTCTCTTGACTGAAATTCCATCATCATTAAGCCACAAAATAGCATGTTGGGATTTTCTGTTCATTATTTCCCTTTCTACCTGGTCCCTTTACACGATGTAAACGCATCATTTAATTGCAGTCCAGCCACTGTCCATGGGCAAATTTCTTAGCCCTCTTGTGCCTGAGTCTCCTCAACTGTAAGATAGGGATAATAATAGACTAGATTTACAGGGTTGATGTGAGGATTAAATGTTAGTACATCTAACTTAGAACAGCTGGCAGTATGTTTGTCACTATTATTGAGTCTTCAGTGTTTGAGCATGAATGAGCAGGTCAGACTGTATTGCCTCACATAGGTGTGTTTAGGGGAAAAACTCAGTAGGACATCTGATAGCAAAGAGGGAAATGCAAGCCAGATAGCAGCAAAATGGTTCATCATTTTACCAAGTTTTGCAAATACTTTGTGACCCCCAAAGGAATCATTTCCCTTCACAACAGCCATTCCTGAAACTGGAAATGGTGCTGTGGCTGATAAGGCTTCTTTGCATCTCTTTATCTAAACCAAAGAATGCCCCCCGCATTCCTTCTCAATTCAAATATCTACTTACAAAAGAAGAAAAAACCCAAACCAAACAAACATACTTAGCCAAATGGGGCCATCTGGAACCCTGCTTGTTCATGCCTTAATTTACTACAATTAATAAATTCATAGAAGTGCAATCTGATTCCTGTTATGTTTTTAAAAGATGAGAGAAGATTCAGTTTTTAAAATGGACCACTATTAACACCACCTTCCAGAGTCATTATCATAATGTCTAATTATTAAATATATCCACTTATAATTTTCCATTATATGTGACCTTACCAAATCAAGTGCTAATTACCTTGATAAATAAAAAAACATGGTGCATTGAGGTTTTAATAACTTGAAAGGAAGGTGCTTAACATTAAATATTATCATTATTAATCTGCATATATTCATATCATAAATCTTTGCACATAGACAAATAGTACAGACATTGGCTTTATGTGTTAAATGTGCCAGCCTAGTACATTTTGATGTTACAAAGCTGGTGAATGTCACTTACCTGGGAACTTAACAGAAGGAATTGGAAACATTTTTCTCCTTTATGCTTTTTTATTAAGATCTACCCACCTAACAACCGTGGGAACATTTATAAGCGAGGCACCATTTTTCATTTCACCACTGCACATATTAAAACACACACACACACACACACACACACACACACACACACACACACAGCACTTTATAGGCCTTGTTAAAAATTTCTTTCTGAAAGCCTAGCAAAGAACATTTTGGAATACCTGGTCTTCCAAGTAGATGTTTTATTGTTTGAATTATTGCTTCTAAATCTACATTTGTAAATGATGAATGTACATGACTGATGAAAAGCAGCTGATCCTACGGCTCTGTACATTGACCCGGGAAAACATTAGTTTTCATGTATTTACGGCAGGTATAGTCTACATTGAATTACTTCATCATTTCGTGTGGGTGACATGTTAGCTATTTCATCAGCACTGTACCAGAGTCAAAAAAAATGTCTATAGGAAAAACTATTAGCCCTTAGCAGAAGAGTACCTCAATATTTTATGTCTACTTATCCCCTCCAATAAGCAATTTAAAAACATTTCTGTGAAGGATGTGTCTACCAAGTAATTTGTTAAGAGTTTAGGGAAACTTGAACACTTTCTTCCTTTAGGTTCTAACCAATTTGAGAACTAGACATGGGAGCCAAACTGGAACTAACAGAGCATCAGCTTTAATACCCAAGTGACAGGGCTGCCCAGTGCCAAGTTAAGCTGGGGGTAGGGTGGGGTGGGGGTGAGCAGGGAGATGCACAGGGCTTCACCAGAGGCAAACATGCAGGTTCTTATTCCTTTTGCCCTCAACTGTACTGGTTTCACCCAAGTGTTGGCCAAACAGACAGCTTTGCCAGTCTCACAATAGGGACTGTGTTAGTTTGGTCCTCCAAGAAGCAGTCTCAGATATCTTTACTGTGGAAAACACTTGTAAGGAAAAATGGGACAGAGCTGTAGGAGGCTGGGAGAGAGTCATCAGACCATGAAGCATAGGAAAGAGAGAGAGATGGAGGGTTGGGCAGAAGCTTCTTAGACTTCAGCGCTGGTCTAAGGCCAGTTTTCCAGCCAAGGTCGCTCATCATAGGAGTCTCATCTCTTCTGGGAATGGGACCGCCTTAGGATTCCTGCTGCATTCAGTCATTGGCTACCAGCAGCCGTGGGAAGCCTGATCTCAGCGAGGTGATGGGTGGATTTCAGGTTGAAGCAGCTGGGGCTGTCATTCAATGACCTTCCCTGCAGTAAAGTAATCGGCGTGTTCTCATGGCTGAAAACTCATGCAGTAAATTGAGGTGCGTTCTCATGGCTGCCACGTTGATCAAATGTTCCTCCAACACCTTTCTCCCGGGGCAGTTTAGAATATGTCCCCCCACCTCAAGCAAATATTAGGAAGGGGCCAACAAGCAACTTTCTTCTGTAGTAATGAGTTGAAGTCCTCAGAGCCACACACAGCAACTGGTCTTACTGTTTTATAGTCACTGATTTCTGTGTGTTTGGTGTATATACATTTGTCACTATGGTACATTATCGGGAGTAATCAGTTAAACAACAATCAACAAGTAGGTGTGTGTACCTCTGTTCCAGGCATTGGAGGAGCCACAAAAAAGGATAGGATGTGGGTCCTGTCCTAAAGTAACATTCAGTGATAGGAAATTTAAAAGACTTCCAAAGCAGGACAGGAGAGCTGGGCCTCTCCTGTTGCTCCCTTCCATCCTGCCCATATTCAAAGAGGTTTTGCTTACTTATACTTCCTGAAGATGCCATTGGAACAAAGGCTGGCGGCCACTGCACCCCAAACAAAACTTTGAAAATTCCTAGTCTAAGTCATTGTTAGAACAGGCCGTGCACTAACATTCTACAAATCTCTGCTGTTGGGCATATTATGATCATATGATAGCAAACTAAATTCAATCTTGTAAGATGCTTCTCATGGAAACAAATTCTTCTAACTAGTGATAATTTTTATTAGTTATCAGAGGTTGAACAGTACTCTAGTGTTTTATGAGTCATGTGGAAATTGCTTGTTTTCTTCTTCCAACTTTATTACACATTTTGATACAAAGTTTGGAAGATCTTATTGAAACTCTGAGGCTATCTCAACACAAGAGAAAGTCTCTCTGCTAGAGTCCCACTCTGACATTATTCTTTTTTAAAAAAATTATCAATATACAACGTAGTTGACTTTCATATCCCTTTACCAATTTCTTCTTTTCCCCCCTTCTCCCCCATCAACATCATATCTGTTCACTTGACACTCTGACATTATTCTTTTTTTATTGGTTATGAATATTCATGAGATACAAAGCTGATTGTCACCTCTCGTGCCCAAGATGTGAAGGCGAGATCCATACTGGCAGCATGCCCATTACCAAAAATTGTGTTTGTATCCCGTGCCTGCCCACCCAAACATCCCCAACCTCCCTCCTCCTCCCCCTTCACCCCCCACTCCACTTTGTATCCCAAGGAATGTTCCCTCCCTCTGTTGGATCATGGCATTACTGTGGTCTTTCTTTCCTTCCTTCTTTTTTTCTTATCTTCCACATATCAGTGAGTACATGTGGTATTTATCCCTCCGTGCTTTGCTTATTTCACTCAACATAAGTTTCTCCAGGCTCTAATCAAAAAGATGGTGAATAACAAATGCTGGTGAGGGTGTAGAGAGAAGGGAACACTCCTGCACTGTTGGTGGAACTGTAAATTAGTACAACCACTATGGAAAACAGTATGGAGGTTTCTCAGACAACTACAGATAGATCTTCCATACGATCCATCAATCCCACATCTGGGTATATACCCATAGGAATGGAAATCTGACATTACTCTTGCTTTAATTTTTTTTCTGGTTCATGCCCATGACCCAGAGAGGTCAAATGTCTTTTCAGTGAGTGGAATTTATTCTCTTTTCTCTTCAGGCTAATCCTCCTACCTCGGATGAGGAGAAGAAGCCAATTCCAGGAGCGAAGAAACTTCCAGGACCTGCGGTCAACCTATCAGAGATCCAGAATATTAAAAGCGAGCTGAAATATGTCCCCAAAGCTGAACAGTAGATGGAAGAAAAAAGGTGAGTGAAAAACTATTTTCTTTGTCTCAAAAAGACCACTATGAAATGGCTTCCAGAAGTCTGGAATTCCAGAAGTGTTTATGATGTACCAGGGGCCTTCAATTTGTCCAGTATTTCTGGTGCAGTTTTCTGGTAAAGCCAAGCTGTTGGGCCTATCTTATTCTATAACCAGTCAGACATCCTTTGAGGCTATTTGCCTGCCAGCCCCTTTCTGATCACCCATCTCAATTGGGGAAGAATGACGTTGGGAGAGCAAAGATGCTTGGGAATAGGCCCTGAGGAGCTTTTGATCTTGGGGTCCAGGTAGCCCTCCCTCATTTCATGCCTCAGTTTCCCCACCTACATACCACAAAGAGCAATGAGTTATTCCTGTCCTGAAGGATCAGAGGAGCAAGCAGTTGAGTAGGTTTGGAAGTGTAAAGAGGCAGAGACCCAGGAATTCAGGCCTTGAAACAGGTAACCCAGGTGTGTGTAAGGTAGACCAGGAGGACTTTGTAATAAGTCTGGGTGTGGATGGGGCAAGGGTAGGCTCAAAACTGTACACACTGCCTGATAAGGCACTGCAAGCAGGGCTTGTGACCTTGTTTTCATTATAATTGAATCTGTTCAATAACAATCCCCTGGAGAGGGCTCGTCTACCCTTCATCTACAGACCTGGCTCCTGTGGATTGCTATGGAAATTCTGCCAGCAGGGGGAGGTGTGGAATTGGCTCAAGTCATTGCTCTTTCTCCTGTGAGACTCTGGGAGCAAATCTACCCTTTATCCAACATTACTGAACCCCACCATGCACAGTCTATTCCATTTCTTAAGCAGAAATTTAAGTCTAGAGGAGGAGAGGAATCTATGCTGGGAACACAAAACAGGTTTTTATCTGGTTGATTGCCCATTCATTCACTTATTTATTCATCCACTCACCCATTTATTCAACGAATATTTATTGAGTATCTGCTATGTGCTGAGCACTAGAAACATTTATTAACCACTTACTATGTGCCAGATACTGTGTGAAGAGCATTATATCTATTGTTTCTTTTAAGCCTCATGATAACATAGTTATTGCCCTCGTTCTTGAGACAAGTCTTAGAGAGACTGATTTTCCCCATCTATCATGCATCCTAAAAAGGGGGTCTGACTCTTAGTGCCGTCACCTACTTGTTATAATGTTTCAACCCCTTCTTCACACTGCAACTTACAGGTGGGTTGCACACTCTCTGTTGGTGTTGGGGTGAAATCTTCTGACCATGTAGATGGCAGAGGCAGGCAGTGGGGCAGATGGGTCCTCCTCTGTCGTCTTCTCTAAACAGAATGAAGAACAGAATATTCTGTGAGACAATCCAATGCATCATGGCAATGTTATTTGTGTCACACTTATGCTGACTTACTAGGATATTTGCAAGTTAGCTCTGCTGAAAAGATCTCTTTATAATCTAGAGAAAGAGAAGAGCCATTTCGAGTTAAAAGAACAGTATCTGGTGTTTTCAGCCCAGTTATATAAAAGAACAAAGGAGTAAGAATAAAAGACAATGGATTCTCTGACCACAGAATGAATCCCAGGAATGAGGATGGGGATGAAGTGATGTGAGCAGGAGCTGACCTGACATATGGCTACACACAATTATTATTTGTGACAGAATGGGACAAATTGACGACTGATTATCATACTCAGACCTGCTTGTATTGCCAAGCTGAGATGAAATCTTCCAATATGTTTGGGACGAAGCTGCAGAACTTCCTTGTGAGAAAGCCTGGAGAAGGGAAATTAAGTTTTTGTAATATTTATTATCATCACCCAACCAAGGCCGTTCAGTTAGACACATGAATTTTTAATGCAAACTTTAAAGGTTTTTGCTTTTATGAAATCCATGCCGACCTAAATTTAACCTGAGTTCCAGTTTCAGAAGAATTTGATTTTGAAGATTCAAAGCAATGCTGTTTTAAAATGAGCTCAGACAGGATCTTGCAGTGGGGTTGATTCAGTAGCCTTGGATGTATGGTACAGCAAACAGTACTAACTCAATAAAATATGAAAAGGTACCAGAGTATCCAGAACAAATTTTTTTTATTTCATTTTCTCAGAGAAGACTTTAATGGTTCTTTTCTCCTGAACAAATTCTAATGCAAAACCACTCAGAGAGGCCTTATTCTTACAGAAATGTGAAAATCTAAGTTGTCAGAGTAATTAATCTGAACTCCAGATGAATATGGTTGTTGTTTTAAGCCAAGGAGTGATCTTTATTTCTTGTAGGATAGGTAGTAAGCTGGTTTGCTTTTGACTCATCTGTTCTGCTCCTGCAAATATGTCTGAGATTTTAAGACTTCCATAGTCATGGTCTATAGTCACAGAGGGAGAGCATTTCTTAACACTGATTGATTCAGTGAACTCATAAGCAATAAATACCCTGGACCAGCCATCACTTAACCCCTCATTGGTTGGATTGACTTCCTCCTTCTTGGGTCACCACTTTGTCACCAGTCCTTACCCTGTATTATCCAATTATTTGATCAAAGACTTCACTGGTTTGAAGATTGAGTGAATAACTCCATCATCTCCATAGTGTCACACACTGTAAAAACCATGAGACTCAAGGCTCGAAGTCCACATTATAATTATTACAATACTTTTTTGTTTTGTTTTGTTTTATTTTGTTGTTTTGGTGGCTGGCTAGTATGGGGATCTGAACCCTTGACTAAATATTACAATACTTTAGACATATAAGACAGAGCAGCATCTCCTTCCAGCTGAGATCTGTGCTTCCTTTTAAGTGGGATTTCAGATTCTTTTCATGCCCTGTCTCATGGCTAGAATTGTTCATGGAAATTGATTAAAAACATTACACGTCAAGAACCAGAAAGGCCAATGACTAACCATTTACGGATCAGAAATCATGGCTTGCGGAAAAGGTCTTAGGGCCTGGACCCAGTCATGAACTAGACCAGGCAACATAGACACATACTAAATCAAAACTAAGAGACACAGAAGTGTCCCAGTTGGGGCCCCAATCCAGGCTGGAACTGGCATGGGGCAGGGAAGGTAGGGTGTTCAGCCACATAACTCTTGAGATTCTTGGCTGTGATTTAAGAAAGATTAAGAGGCAGATGAAGAGGCAGGACCAGTGGCAAAGTCTGCAAACCAGGTACCCTCCAACACTCCCATGCCTGCTTGTTTGCTGCATTATCAGGACTCCCACAGGCCCACCATCAGAAGCCACTGTTACCTTGTTTGCTTGTAATTGTAGCAGATGCCACCTCAGGCTTCATGGACAAAGGTTTGGGGAACCTAGAATACTGCTCAGTGCTGATGTCCAAACAGACACTGTCCATTTCTGCTCCCTCCCAACTCTCAGATCAGTACAGGTGTTCAGTAAAGAACCCTTGTGACTAGTTTCTGTACCATGGGTACTTTCTTACTTCTGGGCTAAGATACACAGATACAAAACTTGGTCTCTTGCTCTCAGGATACTTAAGTCTTGATGGAAACATAAAACACTTCAAAAGGTTGATAACAATTCAAGAATTAGATAGCAGCTCCACAACTGAAGATATCCCAAGGCTGTGTATGACCCACTCACATGTAGGCAGTAGAGATAATCAATGTTATGACTTACGAGAGGGGGAGCTCTCGAAGATTTGAGGTCAGGGACAATTTCAAGGAGGCGATGGGAATAGAATGGCTTAAACAGAGGCTTAGAGATAGCCTCTGGACATGTGGAACATCCAGGGCAACATTAATAGACCAGCCCAGTGAGGCCAAACAGTTCTTTTAGGGCAATACTTATTAAACTTTTGGGCCAGAGCAAAATAAGACCCCAAATCCTGCCTACACCGTCTCTTCTCTCTTTTCAGTGGTAAAAGAACTCAGTGATAACAAACAATTGGAAAGGAATGAAGTAAGTATTAAAGTAGTAACAACGCAGCAATTACAAGAAAAAGAAATGGTTGACAAGGTAAAACTTAAGAATATCTCTACAATTGTGCTAATGAACATCAAGATAGCAGCTATGGAAAGCCCTGGGACTGATGAGGCTCTAGAAGAAATTATCATTCTAAAAGTACAGGCATTCCTCCTTTTTGTGTTAGACATTGCAGCAACATGTTGTGTGGCAGTCAGACTTCATGATTACATACTAAACTAAGGTCTCAGAAAAATGCAAAAAAAAAATTAAGTCAAATAAAATTTATTAAATGTACAAATGACTCCATGTTGGAGTTAGAAGAGGAAAGTCTTTTTTATTTCAATCAAGAAGAACAATACAATGAAATGACTGTGTGCTAAGCAAAAGAACATGAATTATGAGTTAGAGATAAAATAGTCCTGAGGAGAAACTAAATTTCATTAATTATTTTATTTTAATTTACCAATATACAGTGTAGTTGATTTTTGTGTCCCTTTACCAATTCCTTCTTTTCCCCCTCCCTCTCCTCCCTCCTCCCTCATCAACATCACATCTGTTCACTTGTCTTAACAAGTTCAAGGAATTGTTGTGATCATTGTGTGTTCTCCCCCCCCATTTATTTGTGTGTATATTTATTTATTTTAGCTCCCACATATAAGTGAGAACAGGCAGTATTTCTCTTTCTGTGCCTGGCTTATTCCACTTAATATAATTTTCTCTAAGTCCATCCATGTCATTGCAAATGGAAATATTTCATTTTTTTATAGCATAGTATTCCATTGGGTAGATATACCACATTTTCCTTATCCATTCATCTGATGATGGGCATTTAGGCTGGTTCCAACTCTTGGCTATTGTAAATAGAGCTGTAATAAACATGAGAGTACAGGTATCCCTTCGACTTGATGATTTCCATTCCTCTGGGTATATTCCCAGCAGTGGAATAGCTGGGTCCTACGATTGATCTATCTGTAATTGTTTGAGGGCCCTCCATACCATTTTCCATAAAGGCTGCACCATTTTGCAGTCCCACCAACAATGTATAAGAGATTCTTTTTCTCCGCAACCTCGCCAGCATTTATCATTCTCAGTCTTTTGGATATTAGCCATGCTAACTG